TGCAGACAAAAAGGGGTGAAACCCAAGCCTTTAGAGGAGTGAGATAAGGGCCAAGAGGGCTAGACCTAGGAAGGTGGAAATGAGGGCTAGAGCCCTAAAGCCCAGCCTTGCGCAGTAGACAGGGGCTGGGGGGTCCAGCCAGAGCATAGGGACAGAAGCCAAACAAGCCAAAGTTAAAAAAGGTCAAAAGCAGGAGAGGAAGGGACTGGGGAGAGCATCCTGGAAATGACTGAAGTGTTAACACCTGCGAGGCATGAGCATGGCTGTAGGGGAGGTCGGAGGCCATGAATTGCCTTTAAGGTGACTCATGCCAGAGAAAGGAACTACAGGCCAGGAGTAGTTTTTAAGAGCATCTTAGAGACAGGTGGTCCATAAAGAATGTATAGACTGGGAGGACGTAGACTTACTCTGGGGACTCTGGGGCAGCAGTCTTTACTCTCGGGATCTGAGGATAACAAGGCGCAGCAGGCAAGAGCAAGGGGAAGTGGGGAATACCTGATGAGCCAAAGGAAGAACAGGAACTCTGAGGCTACCAGAGGAGTCTCTGCAACCTGCTCCTGCCACTATATATGTGGAACACTAACTATAGGTAAGTATTTCTCATGTGCTTTGGAAATGATTAGAAGTTCTGCATAGGAGTGAAATAAAAATACATGAAAGTGTACATGCAGGAACATGAACATCACATTAGCTGGGAGCCTGAGGCAGTAACTATACTGTATGAGTAACACTGGCAAGGCAGAAGAATCCACATTGACATAACTCTGGAGGGTGTGGAAGGAAAAGCTTGCTCAAATTGGTGTGAAAAGTGGGAGCAGGAGCAGACCTTCCCTGGCCAGTGGCTGGTGGGAAACTCTGCTGCTGTCTCTTTTCAAGTGTCACTTCAGGCTGGGACACTCAAACGGAAGGGTGGCTGTGGGGCTGCCACGCAGTGCAGCAGCAGGTTGGCTCCTGCCTATAGCAGCAATCACTGTAGACTGCATCCTTCTGCACCTGAGCAGTTACTGAGAAAGACCTGTCAGCAGCTGCCATGGTCACAACCAAAGGGAGATGACTATATTAACAAGCTAAGTCAGTCACAGCATTCAGAGGCAAACTGCAAAATAATCTGTTTTTATCTATATACTGTCTCTTCTCCTCTAAATTCTATCCAGGGTTGTCATCAGAATAAGTGACCAGGGCTGGCCTCAAGAAGGTAGGCAATGAGCCGTGACAGGACACCGAGCAATGCACCGCAAACCTAGCGGGTTTGTTTCACGTGACAAGATAGGGCGAGCTTGTGTGTGTGTGTGTATGTATGTAGGAGACGCAACAGTCAGGCTCCCATCACCTCCCAGTCCCCCGCCGCAGAAGCAGAACTCAGCTGCACGTTCCTTTCAATCTCAGCGACCAGTTTATTTTTCTCAAGGCTCTTTGCTAAACACTTGGGTTTGATTTTTAACACAACAGAGAGGGTCCCAGGCCTGGGCTTCAGTGATCAGCTGCAGGGCCTAAGCTGCATCAAGCTGACCTAGCTTGTGTCTTCACTGCAAAACGAAGGTGTGGTTTTATGTTGAGGTGGCTAACTGAAGCCAGTACCTCACTGTAAATTCCCAGAAGAGATAAAGTATATGTAGGTTTGCCTTGATGTAACAACCAATGACATAGATGGGTTAACATTGTCACTGAACCTTTTGCATTACCTGACTCTGGGGTTTTGTGATTTGGAAGCCACACACACACACAAAACTGCGCATGCCTGCTACAGCCAGGAATGCCAAAGCAGAATTTGCACGTGCAATCAGATACCAATTACTGCTTGAGAAAAAGAATAAGCAGTAGGAGAGGAGTCCAGCTGGGATGGGGGTCTACGCTAGGAGGAGGAAACCTCGCACAGAGAGTGGAGCCTGAAGTGTCTTGGCAGATCCAAACCTGATTTCCCCCTCCTTGATCACTGTACATGCACAAAGATTTCACACTCATCTTTGAAACCGGTGTCCATGACATTGAATTTTAAACACAAGGCTTCATTCTGGTTAAAGGGCAAAGCAGAACTGTGACGACAAGATGAGGTGCGCATCTGAAAACCCTGTCTCCGGGCCCTACCTAACGTTGCTGGTCTGGCGGTCTTAGGTGAGGCTCGCTTCGGGGAAGACTCAGGATGCGGGGCGACAGGCTGCACCGGCCGAGTCTGCTTGGCTGCCAGCTTCTTCAGACTCACTTGCCTCTTGTCGAACATTTCTTGCACGTCTTCCAGTTTCTGGAGAATCCTTTGGGCATTAGCCTGCAGGAGAGCAATGCACACTGAGTCAATGGCATTTGCTCTGGGGCAGACTGATCACCTTAGGCAGGTATAAGGAATAAGCCAGAGCATTTGTTTTAGAGCAGGGCAGCTCTGTAGGGACTGTGCTCCTGCCAATAATGCCCCGTTGTGCACACCTCACAGCCACCTCTGGTGCTACTCCAAAGGGAGCACACACAAGTACCCCTCATATCCCCAAATGCCCACATTTGTGCCCCACAATTCTCTGCTACACGAAAGGAGCCTTATCTAGAACTACAACAGAACATTGAACCTGCATCTTAAACATTAGCTGCTGTTTTTCAGACATTTGAACAGGCAATGTAACAATTCGATGGGCTTTACCTTGATTTCAGGGGTGAGAATCATATCGAACTGATTATAAAACTCTTTTGGGTTGGAGAGCTGGTGTTCCTTAGCGGTTGCCAGAAATTTCTCTATTTCACAAAGTGCAGTTTCAGCTCCCTCTTGTGACTGGCACTTGTCCACAGCTTGAGAAGCTAAGAGATAGATTCCAGCTTCACACCACTGGCTTGCCTTTAAAGGAAAATGGAGCAAAGACGACTTTGTTATCATTCACCATCCAGTCCTGTGAAGTGCTGATCACTGTCTGTGATGTACAATTACCCTCCACGAGGCAATAAGGTTCTTCAGTCTTCCTGAGCATCCCACTCAGTGTTTTAACACTGAGTCTAGGTAAGTCCCCAAGAAACTGGATAGATGTTTGAACCTTATATGAACCTTGCCTCCCCCCCCCGAGAAAAAACTCTTGGATTTGCAAAACCCAGAAACAGGTTTTCATGGTACATTTAATTCCTGTTTCAGGCCGGGCTGGATAATACCATTAAAACTGTCCCAGGGTGCGTCCTCTTCCAGCAAGATTACAGAAATGCTGGGGAGACTGAAAACCAAAAGTAATGCAAGGAATAGAGAACCAATCATTTAACACACCCCCAGCTGGGTTTGGTTCACATTATAGGTTTAGATCAAGTTCTTATATTGTTCCAAATCCTAGTTTGAATAATTTTAAGAGTATAATTCAGGGAAACATTTTTTCTCCCTTTTCTAAAGCTGGTATCACAGCTCTTCTCCCTATCTGTGGATTGGTGTGTGTTGGGGAAAACACTAAACACACTCATCTGAAACCTCAGTTATATGAACTTCTAAATCTTTATTTTTCAACAGAGCATTACCGAGGTTTCCCTATAGCAAGATTCCCTCACCTTGTCCATTTGTTTATGCAGCTCGAGGGACTTCCCCAAAATATCATATTTTTTCTTGGTCTCATTGGTAAAGTCGTCACAGATACGCCTGAGTTCAACACATTTTGGTCTGATGGAGTCAACTGCGTAGTGGTTGTTTTGGATGAGCTGGTCTCCATGGACAGCTAAAGACTGGGCCTTTTCCAAAGGTTCCTGCGAAATGAACAATAAATACATGAAAAAGCTTTAGAAGCTAATACAAGAATCCAATAACAGCCACCATCCCTCATAATCCCTGCTGATGCCTACAGCTGCAGATTTAGAGAATCATTTGGTTCATTATAATGTCTGGTTTTAAGCTCTTCATATCCCGTCAGATTTGTTTGATCCAATAAAATTATCCATTGCTTTCTAATGACACTAAATATTGCAGTTATCAGAACGGGCTAACCTGGTGCACTTAAAAGGCCAAAAGATCCAGAAAGGTAGTGTTTATAGGAATGGAAGGGGAATCCCTTTTTGGAAACAGTTGTTCATAAAATACCCAATTTAATAAAACAACACATGAAGACGTTTAACGGGACGGTCTTTTGGGCTTGATCATTCTGCGCTTCTAGTTCCAAGAGATGGACCTCAACCAAAGCCCTATACCCAAGCCCATCCAAGCTTGTAGGCTTTTGAATTCCAAACACGTATTTTGCAAGTGGCCCTGTACCTTTACAGGGAACCAAATCAAACAACCAAGCAGATATGGATGACTGTGAAGCTCAGCAGGTTTGGAATCTGAATCCAAGTGTTGCCATTTGAGCTCAGGTCCCACTAGAGGAGTAACCATGGGGCAGACATCAAGCTATTCAAGCATCTGATAACAGTCAACTACAGTAAACAGAGCATGAAGTTTAGCCAAGTGCACACCTGTCCCTTCTCTTCCAGTTGTTTCTGCTCCTTCAGGAGGTGATCCACACGAGCCACACTGTCTCCGATGTCAGTGAACCTGGCCTGGGCTTCCATCAGGCTATCTAATGCCAGTTTTACCTACAAGAAACACTGTAATCAATCCATTGCATCCCAGGACTTCACAGCTGCCACTAGCCAGCATTAATCCACCCACTGTGGCACAATGAGGGGTCCAATCCAGAGTCTGGAGAACTGTGGTAAGAATTCAACTGAATTCAAACAGGTTTGGATCAAACATCCATTCCTCTAAGATATTTGATGCTTAAGAAGATGTGAGCTCTTTCTTCCAGAGCACCATCGGCATCTTCCTGTCTTTGGCTCACCAAGACACCACAGCTGGCTGGGAAGACTAGAATAATCAGTATTTCCTGATAAAAGGCTTTGTTTGGTGGTGTTGGTTTTTACTACTGGCGCACACCAATCAGAAGAGTGATAGTGGAAAAGTTTGAGCCCATTCACCAGAAAGTGCTGTATTTAAAGAAGACATGAAATACCTCTCTGAAATCATGCTCGAAGTGTCGGAGCTGTAGGCACTGTTCTAACTTTAGGTGATGCTTGGACCAAAACTGATCAAAGGCTTTTTCTGTCTCATCCAACTGAGCCAATAACCTGTTAAGAAATGAGAGAGAGAACAAAAACATCACTTGGTATTTATCTCCCAGGAGCGCATTTTTGTTTCAGTACCTATACACATAGGGAGAAAGTCAGCCAGGCAGTCAGGGATTGCAGAGAGGATCACCAAAGCAGAACAGGCTCATGAAGAGGGCGTAAGGACTCCACCCTCATGCCCTCCCCATAAGAGATGCAGATCTCTGTTTCAAGCCAACTGTGCACAAGGAAATGTGGAATGGAGATTTGCACTGGGCCAGGGAGGAGCATAATCAGTCTGATTGCATGGATCCACCTGCCACAGATCAGCATGGTTCATTCACGCATTGCATGCAGTTTTCTGAGTGAATTCTCTCTCCCCAGCTTCATCACAGCTAATTTACTCTGTCTGTGTGTAGCATGTGTGAATGTCATTCATTGCTTTACAGGACCTTTCAAGCAGGAATCTATTGCTCATCATTCCAGACTGGACCAGTGATCCAGCAAGTGCAGTATCCCATCCCTGGCAGCAACCTAATCATAAAAAAAGGAAGCAGCTTAAGAAAACCTAAGAGCAGGCGGTCAGCTGGGCACTTTTGCACATGGGGAGTAAGATGAAAAACTTCCTTCCTGACTCCTAGAACAACCAATGAATGATCTGATTGTCCGGTCAACTGGTAATGAATCTATACTATTTGCCAACACATTTCACCCAGCTTTAGTTCAAGCAGTGCAGCTCCAGGCCAGGTGAGGCATGCTGAAATGCAGGCATGGTGTTTGCTGTTTCCTTTCCAGCATAGCAGGGAGGAGCAAGTGGCTGAGCAATGGCTGTGATTTCTGTGGTGGTAACCCGAGGTCCCTGAGGGACGCGGAGCATCTTCCTCTTTACTGCAGCTGTGGATGAAGCCCAGGGTAAATGTACTTGTGTTTAAGAGGATCTCTTCCATCCAAAGTTCACTAAGTGTTTCTCTAGAAAAATGCACGTACTTCCTCTTGACGCACATACATAGCATACTCCCTTTTCCCACCACAGACAGGCACGTGAGGCAAATGTCTGTGCTGAGAGGGGAATACATGGCACATTAAATGTGGAGCCCTGTAGTGAGTGACCTAACTAAACAGGCCTAAGCCTTGTTTAAACGGGTCCTGTTGGTTTCGCCCATTCAGAGCCGCTACCTTGTCTTTCCTTCCTCAAAACATACAGCATTGTGTCCAATAAACCAACTGTGAACTAAGAAATGTTAAAGAGTTATTCCAACCAGGACATAAATCAGGGAATAAATCAGCAACCTAGATAATGTCATCAAGATTCACCAACCTTTCCACTGTTGCTACATTTTCCAGCTCGTCCGGGCTGAGTTTGCTAGTGGCACTCCGTGTGACTGGCTCTCTAATGCACGTCAGCAGCGTGGCCCCCTGCTTCACAGCTAGTTTCAGCTCATCCTGGAGAGAACAACAAAAAAAAATATCAGTTCAAATAAGGTTGTTTCAAATCTGGTGGTTAACGGTTATTTATAACCATTAAGTGGGTCATACTGCCAACTCCAGTGGAGAATTCTCTTCTGAGAATGAAACACCGGAAGGAAGGAAGGAAGTAGGCTTGCTGAGTGATGACAATGATTTGGTATTCCCTGAAAGGGAGAACAACTTTTGAATTTTCTGGGTTTCTGATGGGAGAACATTTTTAGACACAAACAAAACTTGCAGTTTAGTATTTAAAGGGCTGAAACAGCCCTGAGATACCACAGCACGAGGGAACTTTGTTGAGGCTGCTGCCAGGCTGCCTGCAGAACTGCGGAGCTGCACGGAGCCCGGTGCTTCGCTCCGCAGCTGTAGGGCACCGAACTAAAACTCCTGGAAGGAGTTGCACCAAGTCATTTAAGGCACATTACGCTGCCGAATTTCCTACAGTGGCTGGAATTAATGGGCAATACACTGCCAAGGCATGCAAACATTAAAGCGGTGCAAAAGCATTTAGGCCACTTTAAAGTGCCCCTCATTTCGTCTACACACGGCCCAAGAAAAAGGTTGCAAGGTCTCAGTCCCCACCATGAAGTAAGACCATGGAAGACAGAAAGGATGGTCAGTGGTTAGGGCGCTAGCCTAAAAGTTCTGGCCAAGCTTTAACTCCCAGCTCCATCACCGACTTCTTGTGTAACCTTTGGCAAGTCACTTAACCACTATGCCTCAGTTTCCTCATCTTTAAAATGGGAACGAACAGCACTGCTCTTCCCCAGGCTGTGTCGTCAAGCTCAGTACTTTAAACACTGAGCGCTCGGGTGCTTCAGAAGTGGGACCAGATGCTTACCTACAACAGGCAGCATTTAGAGACACGAGGTGGGCATTTGCTTTGACAGACATATTATATTTAAAGATATCCCTGGTTGCCTTGTGCAAGTTGTAGCTCAGGCTGGGTTTTAAGGACAGCACAATCACTTTGTGTGGGTGGCACTTAACTGTGTCTCTCTAGGTACCATATCCAAACTGGGCGCTGGTGACCGTGTAACTAGAGCATAAAATTGCTCTAAAATGGATTTGGAAGTTGTGCAAGGAATTCCATGACATGGGTCTCGTTATTTTCCCATAAGCTTTCATCTTCCCACACATCTTTCTCCCTCTCCCACTGAGCTGAGCTGCACAAAGGAGCTGCACCTTCAGGTCACACCTTTGTTATCCAAGCAAACAGAAGAGAAGGGAGTAGAGGCAAGAGGGACTTGAGAACACCAGAGGGAAGGCATCTGGGACAGGGTGGAAAGTCTGTCACTGTTTTTGTGAATTACTAAGAAATCTGCCTTCATTTTACTGCTTGCTCCCTTTAGACAAAGTCCCTACCCCTTTACTAGCCTCTTCCACTTCTGTTTAGCGGTGTTTAGTGGATGCAGCTACCTCCACTTTCTGCAACAAAGCTCCCCCGACACAGAGCAAGAGATACAGCCAATTTGGCATGTTCCTTCTGTAAATGTCCCCAACAGAGGGACTTGTTTCCAAGTCCATTAAGGACAATGGGAAGATTTCATCAGGCTGTGAATCAGCCTCTGTGCTGACTTCACGACTGATTTCAAACGGCCAAACTTCCAAGGCTGCCAAGAAAATGCAGCCCAATGCAGCAACTGCTGCTACTGAAGTGGCTATTGAGCATCCTTTTGGCACAGTTACCTCTGCCAGAAGGACCTCAATAACACACATTTACTAATGAAGGGCCTGCTCCTGACCCCACAGTAATCTGTAACAAAGTTGCCATTGATTTCAGTAGAGCAGTAAGGCCCTAAACCTGGAAGGCCAAAGAAAGGACAGTGAAAATCAGCATGGAAAAGCATCCTGGACTTCTAATTGAAGAGCTTCCCATGAATAATTTCTGACCACGCAGTGCTCTGACAAGCTCAAGTGTGGTCTTATCTGAATGCTGTTATTAGTCCTCATATAATCACAAAGGAAAACGTAAAGGAGTGAATGCGATGGCAGGAGATAGATTAGTCCTGAACTGCTGACTGGTAGGGGTCCTAGTGACAAAGGATCCTGTGGATCCTGTTTTAACAACAACACTGCTTTGAAGATCAGCTGAACCTACTAAAGACACACAGGAGATTCTATCAGAACCGCTGAAAGGCATGGCACTACCAGTCCATCTGCCAGGACTTTTGGAGGCCTCCATTGTACCAGTGCAAGAGCTGAAAAACCCACCCAACACGCAACTTCCAAACAGGGTGAGAGACCAAAACCGCTGGCTTCCAGGGAGAAAGGGTCTCTCTTCAAATGTCCAGGAGCTTGGCCACACACATGATGGGGAGGACAAGGATTCAGGTTTCCTAGAATCCCCTGTGACGTCATGGTTTGCCACAAGAACACGCGTTCAGTCAGCGTCTCACCTCCCCAAAACGTCTGCATCACAATTACGTGCAGAACTTTGCACCTCAGCCCCCCACGTTTCACCACGTTAAGCCAGTCTACTGACTGCAGCACACTTTGGAGAGGTGACTACTGATCTCCAAACAAGCACTTTGTATGGGGGGCGCATTAGCATATAGAAACGGTTGGTTTACTGAGTTTGGGATACCGTGTTCGAAACAAAGAGAAGGGGGTTGGGTGAAAACCGGTTTAGGAAAAGCGCAGAAACTTCCACTGATCTGTTTGCTGAAATGCATGGATATAAATGGAGAGCTTTGAGCATTCGTTTTAGGGAAAACCTCTGCTCACCAAAGAGGTACCATGTCGCCTTCATTTCAGGGTTTCCTTCGTTGTTCTTGCTGTTATTCTGAATTAGATCATAGTTTCTAGGGTTGGAAGGGACCTGAACAGATCATCAAGTCCACCCCCCTGCCCTGGGGGGCTGGGCCCTTTATACCTGTGGGAGCAATAAAATGCAACTACATCTGGGAGAGGAGGAAGGCAACTGATGTATCACAGTGAGAGGGAGAGAGAAAAGGCATATTTTGGGTCTGGCACTACCTGGAGAAAACCCCTATTCTTAAGAAAATTGCCATGTGTCCACACATGGCAATGAAGGCCTTGTTTTTCAAGTTTTCACCTAGAAACATCATGCACGTATAAGGTAAACCGCACCATGCATCCATGTGAAAGGTAGGAGGGCTGGACCAGTGCTAAGGTTTGAAGAGTCTTGTCTGTATTAGCTCTTTTTGGGGAACTCTCCTGCAGTTGTCTGGCACTGGCATAGTGCCCCTGGCGTTATATGGTGGGAGCACTAATATGGAGATTCATTAGTGATTTCACCGCCCAGGCATCTGTTCTGAGCTGTCAGACTATCTGAAAGATGGTAGTGCGGTTACAGTCCAGGAGCATGGCTACTTTCCAATTAAGTGTTAGACCACTGAGCTGCAACGTGTTAAATTAAGATTGTTAATGCTAGTGCTGAAAGAAAGAAGGCAAAACTCACTTTCTGAGTCAGTGTATGGCATGCAGAAAAAAAGCACAAGGTACAAATCAGACTCTTCCACCCAACCAATGTCAACGATGCCAATTCCGCCAATGCCAAGGGTTGGCCTGACAATCTTAAACAAGTCTGTATGCTGGTTTTGTCTATCCATTGGCCAGTATTCAGCATTCATCTAACGCCAGCTTCTGTGGTTTCCTAAGGGGCTGCTATTTATTGTGTGGTTGCTGGAAAAGGAGAAAGGCACTTTATTTCAGGCCGGAGAAAGCTGATGCTGAGTTAAATCAGGGAGCAAACCCCTGTAGTTCAAAACACACAGAACAGGAAGGGACCTTATGAATCACTGAACCCAGCCCATGGCAATCGCAGGCAAGCACAGTACAGCATCCCCGTCAGAAAATGAACACACTTCACTTTAGAGCGAGGTTGATTTCTGGCCCCTCCATCCTCCTCCAGAGCTCTTGTGGTTATTCAAGGTTTAAAAGTACTGAGACCATCAGACAGCCAGCTTCAAACTTCACTGTCAGGGCGGCTAGGATCTGGAACCAACTTCCAAGAGAAGTGGTGCTGGCTCCTACCCTGGGGGTCTTTAAGAGGAGGCTAGACGAACACCTTGCTGGGGTTGTTTGACCCCAGTACTCTTTCCTGCCATGGCAGGGGGTCACACTTGATGATCTGCTCAGGTCTCTTCCGACCCTCCTAACTATGAAACTATTCATTCAGATCCTCACTGCTCCGATGGTTGGAAACCAACTTCTAATTTCCAGCCTCGGTTTATTCAGTTTATACTCATTCTTCCTGGTACCAAGATTGCCTTTTCTCTTAAAAATCTGCTCTCCTCCTCTGGCGTTGACTCACTGATGTATTTATACACAGCCACCCCTCCCTTACCCTTTGCTTTGGTTGAACAAGCCTTCTCTCATGATGACAGGGTCTCCAGGCCTGTGATAAACCTAACAGGGGAAGAGAGGATGAACTTCTCCATTTCCCTGATGCTCTGAGTACTTGATTTCTGTACCAGTCTGAGTTTATCTTTGTTGCAGACAAGTATTCCAGATGGGGTGTCACCAGTGTCTTATACCATGGCATTAATCCTTTGCTGTCTTTACTGGAGACACCTTGCCTTATACATCCTCAGACTGTATTTGCCCGCCTTGCATGGCTGCTTGGCATGGACGGCTCAGATCCATTTATATATCCAGGTCCTTCTGCTCCTCAGCTGTTTCCCAACCAATCAACTCCCGACTTACAACACAAGTATTTATTAAATGATAAAACCCAATAGTGTGCACTGGCAGGGCTGCTCACCTTCAGCTTGTCATGCTGGTCTGTGTGGGAGGACAGGAGCTCCTCAGTGCACTGCACATCGTTGGGAAGTTCAGTCTCAGCCAGGTCTGTTCCAAAAGTCTGCAGCATCTGTGCCGTTGTTTTCACGGTCATTGCAAAGTTCTCGATAGCCTGGAACAGCAGGAGGTTTATACAGTCATGGACTGGTCATACTGTAAGGTCCATGCTACTCACTAGCACTGCTTTGTGCTCACACGGTGATGTGTTTTCTTGTGCTAAATCTAACACACTGGTAATATGCTATATGGGTCCACCAGAAGATAACAGGTTACTACTGCCACTGGAGCTCTGAGCTGCGGTGCTCCAGCAGATCATTAGGCTGGCTAACATTACCACTTCCTGTACCCAGAACTGATACGACTTGCCCAAAGCCACGGACAGCAGCAGCATGAGAGCCAAGAGACTTGGCTCCTTATCCCATGTGCTTCCCCCTAAAGCACTCTGAATTACCAACAACTCTCCAGTAAGGCCAAAGTACTTTAGGCAAAGCCTCCTTGAACAGGTTTATCATCACTGTCTAATCAGCAAGGCTCTGTCTACATCTCACTTGAGTCCAGGTGCACAAATCCTTAATGCCCATCTGAGCTTGAATTGGTATTCCATAGTTGTCCCCTTCCAAGCCCTGTGTCCACAGTGCTACAGAAAGCCTAACACAAAAAAGGGAGTTAAAAATGCATGTGCTTTTGAAGTTAATATTGAATCCTGCTGGCTCTCTATCCCCTGAATGCTCCACCACAACTACTTTTCACACCCAAACACACTTCTGTTAAGTTGGAAGTGAGAGAAACGAAGGCTGTGGAAAGCACCATGTGGACACTTCAAACCCAGTGATTCAAATATTAGTTTGTCAGGGCAAAATATTTGGAACAAATTCCTCAGCAGTGACATTCTCTCTTGCAGCTGCATGGAACTGTTTCCTTGTGTTTCAGGAACACTGGCCCAGTTTAATCTCTTCACTAAAACCTTCCAATGACCTCCACTTTGCATCAACTCTCCCAACTGTTTACATTCATTCACCCACAGTTTGATCCTGTTCATGCTAGACTTGGAACAAGTCTAGTTACAACTGTGTTCGTGATGTTGTCAAGCCCAGCTGAATAATGAATAACTTGTTACTGCTGGGTTGACTGCCGTGCAGATTTCCTGCCCCAGAGGATGCTGGAATTCATTATAATCAGCCTTGCCTGCTGGAACAGGGCTTAGTGATGAGCAAATTATGGGAGACAGTGTTTAACAAGGAGCAGAGATAAATTAAAATGAATGACCCTCCCACTAAAAGGTGTACACAGTATTTCCCCTGTTTGGGTTGTGTCTATACTGTGATCAGGTGGGACTGCAGCACATACAGACATACCCCAGCTAGCTTGAATCTAGCCAGCACGGGTGCTGGTGCAGTTTTAGCCTTGGGCTAGGGTCAGAAATTACATATAAACCAGAATAAGTGATCAGAGACCAGTTCAAATCTGTAACACAGCAGGGCTAGGGGCAGAAGTTACATAGAGACTGGTTTAAGTGATCAGAAACTGGTCTAAACCTATAACAGAACATAAGATCAGTGCTCAGAAACTGGTTTCAAAATGGCCAAAACCGGTTTGAGGTAAACCTGGTTGAATGTAGTATCAGACTTAACTGACCGAGCTCAAATCAATTTATTCAACTTCTGCCCCAGACCTTGGTGGTTGGGGCTTCAACATGAGCTGCACAAGTCTGCTTATGACCCAGCATGTGTACTCAGCAGCTGCATTCTTGTGTAGTCCATGTACTCAGAGCAGTCAGATCTGTTTGCAGGACACGGGCCCAGAGTCTCATCTTCTCCCTTTCTCTATAACAGGATGAACTAGCATCCCAAATCTCAGGGCTCCTGAACATGGGGACAAGGATGTACTGCTGCTTATATTGTCTTAAATATCAGCCACTGAACCAGATGAGTCAGTTCAGAAAGCGGATCAGTCCCTTCAATGCTACAAGACCACGAGCCTTCCAGCTCCCACAGTAAGTGAGAAGATGTTCCTGGGTTATGGAGAAGCGAGACCTAGTTTAGTGTGCATATTTATGGAGCAAAGAAATGGAAACAAAAGAAAACTTGATGCCCTGAGTGTTTTTGGAGCCTTATTAGACCATTCACAGTCCTTACAGAGAGGCTCTGGGTTCTGATGCAGAAAGTCACTTTGCCACGCTTCCCTTTAATATTGTGTTGAAGTCCAGCTGATTCCAGCAAATTGCTTAAGATTGAGACTGTGCTTAAGCACCTGGGCTTGTTTATTGAGCTGAGGCCTAGATAAGGTGTGAACAGCCCTGCCAAGGTCTTGGGAGGATCTAATCCTCCCTCCATTGTGAAGTAGATTAACTTGGGTAAAGTCCCCTCAGGCTTCAACAGAAGTCACAGCCTTCGCTCTCACTGGAGAATTATCCATTTCTCTGAATATGTCATTTAGGTTGAAACCATGCCCTGAAGACAGTCAGCAGCTGTACTCACAGTTCGATGGTGTATCCATTGGCTGTGGCCATACTCCAGAGTTCCCCCAAGTTCCCGGGTGAGCTGACTTTTGTCAATATAGCCATGTAGATCAGAAACAGAATTTAACATGATGATCTACAATGAGGAATCAAAACAGCATGTTAATGGAGAGAAATAATGCTGCCCTTCAGAGTCATCTTTCTTATTCAGTTTAAATGGGGAGGGCTGAACTTTGCTCTGACTTGTTCTCTTTCAAGGCTGAGGGTCAATAAATTGCCATTATCTACAATATCTATTTGACCCGTCAGCACAACCCACTGTGATTTATAGATAGCTATTTTTGATTTGACAGTGAAACCAAGGAATAGCTTGCTGATGGTTGAACAGTGAGTCAAGAGACCCTAAGACCAACTTAACTCTACCTAGTCCAATTAAATTAGCCCTGGTTTACCAGGGCATGAGAGAAGGATCAAATTGTTATAGAGTCCAGACTCCTGTGACACTGCTCTACAAGTTACCTTTAAAACATTTTAAATATGTAGCATGTTATATGCCATTATCAAGTTAGAACAGTTTCAGAGCAGGTGCAGGGTAAGGCTTAATGCCCTCTCACACCTGCACAACTGTGACGTGCCTGGTGAGCAGGGGCATGGGTAAGAGCTCCTCTAATCCCCCCCGGGGGTGTGAGAGGACAGGGGAGGGTGGCATGTAGCTCAGAGATGGAGAAACCAGCATGGGCTCTGCCTGTGGCTTCCCTCCCTGCACTGCCAGCCAGAAGAGGGGGTGGGAAGAGAGAAATCTTGAAAAACTGTTTGAATTGAGAGGGAGAGTAAGGAGAAAAAAAAAGAATTAAAAAAAATGAAGAACCAAAATCTTGCATGCGTCCCAGTGAGATGGAATTGAGTCAGGAGGCACAGCACAGGGAGTTGGGTTAGGGGCAGCAGGGATCATGCACCAGCCACCACCAGCGAACCCTGCTGAGCCCCCAGCAATCCTGTCCCAAGTCAACTGGGGTGGGAATTAGGGGGGAGCACAGCTTCCCTCTCACAAGTCCTCCATGGTCTTGCCTGCCCTGGGAAGGAGGGAGCTGGTGACTGGAGCTCAGGCAGCTGCCTGAAAGAGCCCTGCCAAGCTGGACCTCAGGACCCTTCCCCATCCCAGGCCCCTCCCAAAGCTCAGGGCTGCCTGTACCTTTAATCCCATCACAAGGCAAGGGAAAACTTCAATTAAGCTTGCTTTACCTGAGGTTAACTGAACTCTTCTTGTAGCCCCCTGCCCCTTTTCTCCTGTTCTCCCCTGGCCAGAAAGATAATGGGGTGTGAGAGGCTCAGCTTTCTTTTAAGTCCCATCAAGTCCAGTCTCAGGTGAGGGGGCTACGGGAGGCTGTGGAGGATAACCATGGGGAGACATGCTTCCCCACACCATAGATAATCCCCAGCAGCCAGGAGTGAAGCTGCCAGGTGGCCTTGCCAGAGCATGGAGCCTCCAGGAGGTGAGCCTCTGGAGCCAGGGACAGCATACCAGGGACAGTATCAATGAAAAGTACCCATACACGAGCACGGAGACTATTCCAGCACATTGTAATTACTTGATTAATCGAGTTTGCTGGAGCATGGTAATTACTGTGATCCAGCCAGCCTCTGCCTCTCATGTATCTGCATCCACATGCTTCAAAATGTCAGCAGGGGCACTTTATCAAAAGTTTGTTGAATGAGCTTTAGATAAAGTGCCCCGCCGTCATTGTGAAGCATGAAGATGCTGATACGCAAGACGCTCTGGGCGCTTTAATTAGAGCAGAATTAAAGTGCCCCCCGTCACTCCCAGAGCACATGTATAGACACCCGTCATGTCCCATTATAAATCCATGGTGCATCCACACCTTGATACTGTGCCCAATTCTGGTCCCCACACCTCAAAAAGGATGTAGAAAAACCAGAGAAGGTCCAGAGAAGGGGCAACAAGGATGAGTGGTCTGGAGGGGCCTCATTATCAGGAGAGACTAACGAGGCCAGGCCTGTTCAGTTTAGAAAAGAGGTGCTTGAGAAGGGGACATGAGAAAGCTTTACCAAATACTAAATGATGAAGAGAAAGTCAACAGGGATTTATTATTTACTGTCTCTCCAAATACAAGAACTAGGGGTCACAAAATGAAACTAGTAGATAATACCATATTGACTTGATTTTAAGACATGGGGGGGGTTCCCCATTTAACATGGGGGTGGGGGGAGGCCCTCAACTTAGAATTGGATATGAGGGTGATGGGGGCAGCAGGCAGCTCCTGTGGCTCAGGCTCCAGTCCCTGCCCAGGGTCCAGCGATAGCTGCAGTGCCGCCTGCCCCTGGGCCCTGCCCACCACCACCTCTGCGCTCCATCATCTCCCCCGTAGCCCATTCCTCCCATGGGTGAAGGCAGGGGGCAGAGGTAGTAGAGTGAATAGTGGGGGACAAGGGGCAAACTGCTGACCTCCCCACACCACCTGCCCCCCTGCAGCAGTAGGGGAAATGAATTAAAGACAACCCCCACAATAATTAGGTTCTATACATGGAAGATTATAACACATTTATACATTTTCCACATATAGAATCTAACTATTGGGCGGGGGTCGTCTTAAATTCAGGGTCATCTTAGAGTCGAGTAAGTACGGTAAGTTTAAAACAAAAGGAAGTTCATTTCTTCATATAGTGGGCACATCTACATGAGATGCTATGTGACGCCACCCATCTACGGGAACTGTGATGCCAACACTACTGCATGGTAGTGTGGGGAAAAAAACCCGTGCGCCGCTATGATTGAGCAGTAACGCTTAAGCAAGTACCAGATGACTGCGCAGTAACAACGCATGTGTAGATGCGCCCACTATGTAGTTAAAGTGTGGGACTGGTTGCCACCCAATGCTGTGGAAGCTGACAGCTTAGCCAGATTCAAAAAGGGACTGGACACATTCTTAGAGGAAAGGGGCATCGGTAGCTACTGAGCATGGGAGATAGGGGCACACCCTCTGAATCACATCTTCCAAGAACTTCAATGCTGGAGGCTGTAAGTGAGAGGGGAACAGGGGAAAAAACCCTGGTCAGACCCAGTTCAGTTTCCCTTTCAGCATCCGCTCTCTGCCCGTGTGACACAGGAGACTGCGCAAGATGGACCTATGGTCTGACCCAGTAAATAGCAGCTCTTATGTTCTTATGCTTCTCCTGGCTCCATGGTCTTGCTGCAGTTAAGCATTAGCAGCCCTGAAGGGTGGGCAGAGGCAGGGGACCACTAGAGGTTTGGCTGGTGGAAAAGGCTACAGTGGCTGGGAGCTGTGCATCCTGGGATTCTGGAGGGCTGCCAAGTGATCACTTTCTCTCCAGGGAGCTGACTAGCAATGCCCTGGAATAACTTGGACAAAATGGATCGATGATAAATCTCAAATGTTTAGAGGATACTTAAGATGGGTGAACACCCTTCAATGGGTACCTGCTTCTGTTTTCAGTACCTTTATGATGGTTTAAAGGCAATCTCCAACATCACCCTAAGCCCCACAAGAACAACATTCCCACCACTAGCATAACTGATTGAAATGCAGGCAGGTTTCTATTAAGCTTCAAATTACTTTTACTTGCTCTCTGCTACGGTGATGCCATGCTTGATGCAAGTAACACACATTTCAAATGCAGAGTTTTTGTGACCATATCCGCTAAAATGAACAGTGACTTGAGCAGTGGTAGTAGCAGCAACACAACGGTGTTGGGTGCAAACAACTAGGGATCCAAAACACTTAGGTTTGGACAAATATAGTAGGTGGTTCTCATTCAGGCAGGAACTCAACCTCCTGTTGAGGGTAAGTCTGGCTGTGTTTGCCTGCTCCTACTATGGTATGTTAAGTGGATTCTTGAAATCCCTGGCACCAGTTCTTACTCCTTCTGAACATACAGACATGGGAGTGGCTTTTCCTGATTGAAGCCGGATGTAGGGTTTAAGCTGTAGGAGAAACCCTGAGAAGATCCAGGCCTTGGGAGAAGAGGAACCAAATGCTCTTTAATGGGTTTTTGGAGCACACTGGGAAAGTCACACCCTTTGCATTCTGCAGCCAGTAAAACATCCTCCTGACAGCCCCGAAACTCATGAAAAGAGCAAATGAAGGACAATTATTCAAGGAGCAGCTGGGGATGAAAGGAATTACCACTGGACAGTGCCAGTTTAAAGATCCTGGAAATGCCCCCAGGCACAGAGTGCACCCATAATGGTAGCACACACCTGGGGTTAGTGTCTTCCCCTTGCCGCATGGTATGACATGGAGAGAGCATAAGAAAAGAGACAGAGAGAAGCTCAGTCTTCCTTCCAATCATAGTTTGGCCATTTGGCTAGAACTAGGCATATGTCGGTAGACCTCACTGGATTAATACAACCATTAATCAGTGTGTATACAAATCAGACACTGGCCCAGCTGAAGCAGGCCTTGGCCAGAATGAAAATAGGTATACCATGTATGGCACAAATGGAAATGCTGGAAAAGTAACCGGTTAGTTTTAGGGGGTCTCCAAGGACGACAGATAGAGAATGAATCGATAAGGCACCAAAACAAAGATCAGACAGTGACCTGGCCACAGGTATCTGTATTTGGGGGCAGGGCTGCACTAATAGGTGAGAAGCAAAATGTGGACCATGTCACCTAAAGCTGTTTTGGTAACTGGTGAGAACTACGACATGTCGGCTGTAAACACTGGTGTATTAAAATGGGCCTGGGAGCATTGAAGATTTTGTACTGGGCTTAGAGGGTATGTTGATGCCTGTCTCATGCCAGCAAATGACCTGGCTAGCACTGTGTAACAGTTGGTTATGGATGATAATGTCTAGGCTTGTTTGAGGACAGTAAACCTGGCTGAGTTTTAGCTACTGAGAACTGAAGACTGTGGTCTCTTTTTTGGAATAACAGGCTCATTAGGGGCATGGCATCATAGACAGTATCTTGACAGTGCATCAGGAATTACTACCAGGGAGCAGTACATAGCAATAGCCCACACCTGTAAGGAGGGGATTAGACAAGCAAAGGCAAAAACTGAATTCAAATTGGCAACCGGAATCAAGGACAATAAAAAGTCCTTCTTTAGATACGTAGCAAGCAGAGAAAAAATAAGGAAAACACACGGCCCCTG